CACACAAATATCTAATTGAATGGTGAATTAAAAAATTCGATGCTTATAAAAATTATATATTTTGAAAATTATATGATTATTTTCAAGAGAACTTTGCGTTCAGTAAATATTTTTAAAAATATTGATTGATTTTTCTGCTTTGTTTTAATTTGGATTTTATATTCTTTTTGTTACAGAATCATCGTAGCGACGTTGCAGATGTAACTCCACTGTTGCGCATCGGGTTGGTAAGTGATGAATTAATGTTTTTATTGAGGTAACGAATGTATGGTAATTTCATTAATATACTATACATCTAGAAAAATCAATTTAATAAAAATGTATGCATAAATGTATGTATAGTATTCCATATATCCGTTGCCTTAAAATAGATAAATTATAACAGATTAGGATAAACTTAATCCTGAATGCGCTTCTTCATTATGGAATTTATTGTGTATGCACTATTAAATTTATAATATCACGTTATCCAGTTTGAGTTATTTTTAATCATTTTTATAAGTCGCCACTGCTATTACTCAATGTCTCGTTAATTTAATTAAAACAATAGAGTAAAACTATTTAATTTTCAAGAAAACTATTAAAGGCTCAAATTTTGTTTACTAAGTTTTTATAATAAGTATTATTTTATTATTTTTCCTACCTTTCATATTCTCAAATATTCATTCAGGATTAAATTGTATATATAAGTTGGTGCAGAAAAGCAACATACATACACATATATGTATAATACATATTGTTTTTTATTTCTTTAATTGTTTCACACTTATTTGTATACATGTTACTAATGTAGTAACAAATATTTTAATGTAACGCATATAAATGATTTTTATCTCGCTTTTTTATAAAAGACACTTTCCGATTATTAATTTTTGCTATTTATCTCAATGCACTGACTTTAGCCTAAACTTTTATAACTTATTCATATGTAATAACTGGATTTTATATCAGTTAAAGTAGTAATATGATGTAAGATCCAATATTTGTGTGTAAGATCTAATATTTTGTCAAAGAATAAAAGAATTTTATTTCGTAATTAATTTAAAATCGTGTTCAGAGTTTTACATCATTTAAAATATTTAATTTTGAAATAAATTATACAAAAAATATAATTCTAATAATTTACAAAATACAAAGAGATATGTTTATTGAAGTGAGGGAAAATTCTCCCTTTCGGATCTTATATCATTCATCTGAATTTCTCATCTCCGCATGCTTTGAGATGAGATTCAGCAACGAATCGTTCGAATCGTTAAAAATACGTACATGGGCCTTGAATTTTATCGAATAATAATCGATTTAGTAATTTTTAGTTTATTTTTAAATTAAAGTTCTGTTGTTTATATTATAAAATTTATATTAAGAAATTTGATTTAGTTTCATAATATTCGAGATTCTTGAAATCAAAACGTTAAAAATATTCCATATAAAGATTTTTTAATTTAGACTTATTTTTAATCGAATATTTGTATTTTTAATTTTCAAATAAACGCGAATAGAGAATAAACGCGAAATTTATTTGTATATTAATGTAATTATTATTAATGATAATTGTTCATATTAATATTTGATCAATTTTATTAATATGATGGCCTCTTCGCGACGCGTTTGTATTTCGCGCACATCATACAAAAGCGTAAAATTTTACGCTTCTCGCCGGCGATGTTAGTCGGCAGCAAAAAGGAGTATTTCTCCTTGTTATCGACTTCTGGCATATGAATCCAGAATATTGGCAAGGAACAATGAAAAGTGAGTCCAATCTAGCCAAAGACAGAAGAGACTATTTAAATGAAGTAGGTTGGTGTGTAACACTAATCTATGTTTTTAAAAGGTATATATATAAAGATAAACTATGAATATTCGGGAGGGTAACTTGCTCGCAAATCGCGAGTTTTTATATTTTTTGAATTATCGTTTATTTGAAATACAAGAATAATCAATAAACGACAGGTCTAATGAGAGCCAGTACGAATAATCAAGCGTAAGTTTTGTAAATTTTTTTAATCTACAAAACTTGCGCCTGATTATCCGCGCTGATTCTCATTAGCCCTGTTATTTGTTCATTTTAATGTATTTTAAAAATCGAAAGTCTGTTTCAATTATTATTATTCATTGCTCGTTTATTTAATATGATCGCGATTAGGTTATTCTGCTCAATTTATCAGTACGTAATAGGACATGGTTAGGCATTAGCTGTTGCATTCAGCAGAGGAAGCAGCTTTGCAACTGTTGTAAAATTCTTCAGTATGATTGAATTATACATTTAAATCCATAAGGAATCAAAAGCAAGAACCAATCGTATTGAAGAATTTTACAACATTTGCAAAGCTGCTTTCTCTGCTGTGTGAACACAGTATCACTGTTAGAAATGTGACCATGAGCTTCCTTTACATGTAAATGAAGCTCGTGGTTATGAACGAAATTAAAAGTAATGAATGATTTAACTGAAAATTAAGTTACAGTAGTTACTTAAATGTAATGAACGTATACATTAAAGGAGGATCCCCACGGTATAGGGAGGATTCTGCCCTAGAGATGGAACCTCTGAAATCGATAAATTCATTTAGAGTATGAAATCTATCACCCAATACCATATTTCACTTTCTTATCGGCAAGAAAAATTGAAAAAATCATGTTTGAAGTTTTATGTAGTGACGACGCGGTAGCGAGAGTGACAGTGAGAGTGGAAGGGAAAAGCGTGCCATGCAGATCAGATCAGTGGGCCGTACATTCGGCAGTAGTAGGCCGTATATAATTTATAGTAGTCCGTTTAATCGCTGAAATCGCTGAAATAAATCTATCAAATTAAAAGAGATTTCAACGATTTCAGCGATTTACTTCCATCCTCAGGAGCAAAAAAAATGGATATTGTTGTATAGTTGGCATCCAGACATATGCAGTAGTGCGCAGAGGCATTTTGCGATTCAGGAAAAATGCCCTCATGTCTTCTCTCAGATTTCTCTCTGGTAGTATAAATTTAGAGCCTTAGTAGAATGGCTGACTTATAATCTTAAAACAGTGTCTTATAACTTAAGACTTGTCTTTAGTAACACACAAGAACTGTCTTAAAATTATAAGTCAGCCTTTCTGCTACGGCCCTAAGAGAAACTATTCAGTTTCATTCAATTCCACCATGCACATATCGGAGAGAAATCTGAGATCGCTATTTCGACCACCGACGAAGTTTCTCTCTGCTGGAACCAAACTTGATCGATGTCGATAAAACGGATTTTTAATTCCAAATAAAATATTACGACTTGAGGTCGACTAGATATATGTATAATAGAAACAACGTAATACACTTATGTCTTTTATTTGAAAAGCTGTGAAAGAAGGATAAACAAAAGAATTGATTAAAGTAATAAAAATAACCTTTTATTACCCAATATTTATATTTCATAAATAAACGATTAATAAAACGATAAAAAATTACATTAATAAAAGATTAATAAATATCTTATTTGTAATATATAAATAAATTCTTATTCGCATAAAACATCTGTGACTTAAGAAATATAGTTAGACGATAAATAAATAATAAATAATAGTAAAAGTACATAAAATACATTTTCTAGTATTATTTATTATTTTTTTTTTTCCATAAGAGATATAAATCTTTTATATGTTACAGAAAAAATTGCAATTTTCTACGTCTAATATACTATTTTACAATATATTATTTTTACATTAAATAAATTAAGTTAAATAAATTAAATATTCTACATTAAATATTTTACATAAAATATTTTTCTTAATAAGAAAATACATTTTATTTTCCTGTTCAATATAAAACAATACTCTGAAAATATTTAAAAGTTCAGTCTGTCTTTGTTTAATTAATTATCATTAATATTTCTATTAAAAATATAATTTTTATGATATAGCGTGATATCTTTTTAAAATATCCTTTTAAATTAATAATCATAAGTCTTTTGACTCTGCCAAAATTATATAAATTTAAAAAAATAATTTTAAATAAACAATTTAAATAAATAAAAAATTATATAGAAGCTACAGCAATAGGAAAAGTATACTTTTTATTAACTTAAATATAAGTAAAATGTGTGTATGAGTTTCCATAGTTGGTGCACAGTTGCGCAAATAATATATTTAAGGTAAGAAGATATAATTCGTAAACACACACACAGTTCGAATATACGTAGCAACATAGTTAACTCCATGCCACTTGACAACAAAGTTATATTTTTAGTATATATGCATTTCACTAAGTAGTTAAGTATGTTGGTAAATACATTCCAATTGTTTGCGAATAATACATACTTATCGCTTTATAATTAAAATTATTTACGCTAATAATCATTTTATTTTAATAATTAATTTGATTTAATATATGTTCTTCTTAATCAATAAATGAGTCAATCGTTTCAGCTTCATTTCAAGCCATCTTCAATGAACAAACAATATAATTTTAAGTGTTATTTCTCTCAAGCTGATTGGAAGGTAATAATGAATGTATTGCTCATACTGGTTGCAAGACCAAACGTCCTTAAATCCAAAAGGAGTCAAGAATTACAATAAAAATAACCGTGAATAATTATGTTGATGAAAATAATAAATATAATTATATATAATAATAGAAAAAAATAGATTATAGACACAATGAAAAATTTAAACAATTATCATAAAGTAAAACATAACCAACTGAAATTGACTATACAACGATCCACGAGTCACAACATTCCGAAACATTTGACTCATAGACTAAGACGAATATATTAAATAATTAATTTGTGTTTCAATTATCGTGCGTGACTCTCATTTACCTGACACGTTTTCTTTACTTTTTAATTTTGAGAGTCCTTTATGTATAACATTATTTTAATTTATTCTTGGAGCTATAAATCTATTTCTTTTTCAGTTTCTTTAAAATCTTATCACACAATTTATCCGATTATCAAAATTTGCTATGTAAAGCTATAAAACATCAAAGAATTTTAATTAATTAAGATTTTATTGTCGAATTTAAGCGGTATAAATTCTTAGAACTTTTTGGATGACTTTTTCTTAAGTTCGGCATGTTTGACGCTTTTAAAGGCTTCTGCCCGATCTAGAAACGCGATTATCACCTTATTTATGATATAGATGATACCAGGTAGTTTCATCAAGTACGAGAACATAAATTTCTGCAACGCATAAAGTATTTTCTCCAGTAGACTGAAGGACCCGTACAGGCGAGGCATGTTGAGTTCAAATATGTCACAGAGATAGAGCATAAATACTTTGTAGTTGCTTGGAAGACCCATATAAACTATGGCTTCATTAACACACATAATCATGTGCTCCCACTCTGGTGTCACCTCGCGGAAATTCGGTTTTACCCAGTGCTCGATGAAGTCTTTAGTTCGTTGGCGCACTTCCTGTAAATCACCGCGACAGAAGTTATACTGATCTTCTATGCCCAGCAGGTAGCCCAAACCGCGCCAGAGGTGGCAAAAAGCCTCCAGATCTTCGTTGCTTGCGTATATTCCTAACTGCTCCGGATAAAGCACTATTAAACCCATGCAACTAAACATCGTGGCCGTCATGTCGCCTTGGTTCAGACTTGTCGTTCTTGTCATAGTATAAGGACAATTCTGGCTCTTCGCCATCGAGCACGTGTCTGCGAAGTCTTTCGCGACCTTTCCCAAAATAGGACACCATACATTTTGAATCTTGCTGTCTCGATCAATCTCCTCAAAGCTTTTTTTGCACAATTTCGATCTCATGACACTGTGTAATCTTCGAACTCTCTGAATATCGCGATAGGCTGGCGTACCTTCGCACCAAGGATCGCTCGTGAACCAATTTCTGACGGTCCTGGTTGTCCTGAAGTATCGCTCGAAGGCACGGTACGGAGTGTTTGACTTTTGACTGAGGATCAGCGGTTTCAATCCGTCAGAGAAATTAAATATCTGGATTAGACCCATCGTTGAACCAATCAAAATCACGCTGAAATAACGTTCAGCAAAGCGCTGTCCGCGATAAAATTTATCCATTATTAACCAATCCGGCTTCGCATTTCCTCTTCGTTCGCTACAGTCTCCATTTTCGAAGATCGCTGGCAATATGAACCTCAAAGATTCGGGTATGTTTGGGAAATATTTGTCGATATTGCTTATTAGGTAATCGTACTGCTGTTTAATTGTCCACCGATCGAAGTGTTCTGGTAATTTGCTGTTGTCGAATTCTTGTCTACATTTTGTTACAAATGTTTTGCGCTCGTTGATGAGATTGTCCGATAAATTATTCCATTCGTCGATATTGTCGAGAGAAGAATCAAAGTCGCTCGATAATCCGCTATCTTTATTTTCCCTGATTTTTATTTTGAACATGACATCATTTATCGCACGCGCATCATTATCATTCAATAAATTCTCTTCAGTGAATGAATCAACCTCACTGCTTGTGATTTTCATTGCAGATGGTTGTAATTTTTGTGATTTTATTTGAATGAGTAAAAGTGTCTCTTAGAAGTTCGTTAAAAGTTTGAAGGTCCTAATCCGGGTATTTAATGTTGAATCTATAAAAAAATTTGAAAAATATTATTAGGTATCGCGAAAAATTCGTGTCGTTTTTTCCCCTATAAACATCTATTGAAAAAACCACACGGACTTTCCGCGGTACCTAATATAAAATATGATAAAACAACTTTATATAACTTTCAAGAATTATAATAATTACAAATTAAAGAAAAAATTTTTTTGCTTGAACATGAATAATAATAATTTAATATGAATATACATATGTATGCATATCTACATACACTATCGTGAATTATGAAAAAAATCGACATAAAGTTTTTGTTATCCTTAAAAACTTTTTTCTTTTTTGCTATTTAACATACTTTGATTTACTGATTATATTTATAATAAAAGAAATAAATTTATAAAGGTAAAGTCAGGAATTTACAATTGAGCCATTAAAATCTAATGTAACTTTATCAACAAAACGTTAATCAGTTTCTTAAGCAAGCGGCCGATAACAATATTATACATTGCACCAGAATTTCGATTGTGTTCCAAAATTTACTACCAGAGCTGAAAACCTAATAATGTCCGTGACATAAATTATAAGAATTTTTACGCTGAATTTTGGAATACAGCTTTCATTATTAATCTTCTAAGGACCGGCATGATTTTGATCGACTTTTTTATTTTAAGGACTAGAACTTTTTTGTCAATATCATGAGGTTGAGTGACGAAAAATTCGGCGCTATTGTCGAGTCCCTAAAGTCCCTAAAGGGACTTCCGGTCCTCCAGAGGTTATCTACTTATACCTGAATACTACTTTTATTTTCTTTATTATTTCTTTCTCTCTCATTATCTTATTACGTCACAGTTTTTACTGACAATTGATAAATAATTGAGATAAATAACATAAATGTTTAAAGAAATTTTGAATATAAAAATGTTCGATTTTTGCCTTGAAATAATTACTTTGATATAGAACAATAATATTTTCGAGAACATTTGTCACAAATACTTTATTGTAATAATTAAAAATATTACGTAATCGATACCGATTTTAACAACCAAAATATCAAAAATGCCTAATAAGATTTTAACTTATTTTGATTAATTTTTATATTACATTTTAAATAATATATTTCAATTTGTTTATTTAGATGCATTATTTAAAAAAAAAGAAAATTGTAGAAAAAATGTTGAAATCGTACGAAATCTATATATAGAAATTTATGGAATAAACGAGGGAACATCCCATATGTTATCATCCGAGTGACTTTTACTTCGCAATAATGTGTAATCATGTGCAACATTTTATACTGACATAGTATAGCAGTGCCTACAAAGTGTTCAGAAGGCACTCATGTCACTCGCATAAGCGCTTTCTGAGCGTTTTGCAAGCGCTGTTGTGCTATGTAGTATATACAAAGCAAACCTTATGCAATTTGCTCTCAAAATGAGTGTATAATGACATTCTTTATAAACAAACTAAAATTCAACACAAAATCAGAAAGCAGTATCAATCTTAATGATCGATCTTTTAATGTAGAAATCGCGTAGCGTGCACGATATATCTGAGAGGCAACGAAAATAAACTTTTTTTTATAATGCAATAATTGTATTACGCGGAAAATTTTATTAAATCTGTCATATAATAATAGTCGAGAGGTTTAAACTTTAATTTTATTGTTTCTTTTATTACGTTTAAAACATTTGTCATAGTAAATATTTCACTTTTTTTAAGTGCGCTGCATTTATCCATTCTCCCCTATAATGGTTTTTAAATTTCGAATTCATGAATAGTACAATGAATATTTTTTGACACTTTCGCAATTAAAATTCCACAATAAAATATTATAATTACTTGGTTAATTGAAAGCGCATCTAAAATAGTTGAAACGTAATTATGGTGATATTTAACAACCAATAGACTGAGTAAGCTAGCAGCGTTATTATGTACTCTTAACAATTTTTTACATTTAGCAAAATTGTAATAGACACCAAAATTGCTACCTAAGTAGCTAATACCAACAAGTAGTTCCTTAAATGGTCCTTGCAATTTTTCAGATAATTAAGTTGTCAAAATGAATTAAAAATGTGTGTAGAATAAAAAATATTTTACTTACATTTGGAACTTCGTTCTCTGTGAATTGTGAAATTGGTATACGTTCTCCATAAATTGTGAAGCACGTTTTCAACATATATTTATAAGTCTACCCCTACTTGAGAATATCCCCTCCTTTTGAGGAAACGGAAACATTGTGCAAAATCAATTAAGATAAAGTTTGACCACTAGCAGTGTAACCATTTATGCGTCATTGTGTTGTTATTATTGATCGAACTACAAAATTATGCACATTTTTTACAGGTTTATGTTTTAATGGATTAAAGTACACTAAGGGGATCTGTTCTAAATTTTAAAATGTAAGAAAATAAAGCGCATGATTAGCATGATGAATGTTCTTCGATTTATCTTGAATCTATTAGTCAACAAGATTTTCCATTTGTCTTTCTTCATGTCTTCTCATTTTTTACGTGTAAATTTTCTAATCTTCATATTTTTTATATTTTACAGTACTTTCATAATTCTACTCACCTTTCTTGATCGCTGGCTTATTAATTATATTTATATCATACAATATTATGATAATATTAATTATTAAATTATTATCATTAATTAATGTGGCAATTATTATATCGTTAAGACTCGGTAGCCCGAACGTGCGATTTCACAGAAATAGAAACGCATATGGACGATCCAACATGTACACATACATATATATGCTTCACACGGACGCGCGAGTATGCTTGTATACATATGGTCTATCGGTTGCGAAACGAAGACAATAGGGAATTTTTCCAATGCCGTTTATTCAGATACGATAAACACTAAGGTTGCGTTATCTTCTTAACTAAAAAACATAACTTTAACGTTCGCCATATTTGGATTCACATTATTGCAAAAACTCTCTAATAGTCATAGGCTCTTTAAATGCATTAATTTCTCTTTTACACTTCTCAAGGATCATTTCTTCATATTGTACGCCATTTAAACCGAAATAAAAATAAGTTTGTAACTCATCTCCAATTATACAGTCTAACTCGTTATTTAAACAATTGTTTTTCGCAAATTCGAACAACATTATTTAAAATTGTAAAAAACATAGCATAATGATAAATAACAAGAATCCACAGAAATAACCGGGGAGTACGGACTCTTGCATAACGCATAAAAAAATGAATCAATGAAAGTCCTTTATTTCTTTTGCATGAAATCGAGGATTTTGATTGGTCGATTTTTTATGCTTTTTGCGTTATATGCAAGATTCTGTGCTCCCTGCTATTTTATGTGCGATGAAATTTTGAAAAGAGTACGATCGATCGAGAGCGCAAGATCGAGGATTCGATCGGTAGACTTTAGCACGTTCAGATGTAATTTTTTAGTAATAAGTAAACATTTTTAAAGACCGTTCGGGAGTTACAATATCAATTACACCAAATAGTTGCAGTATGCAAAAAATGTTTATTGAAATCAAAGGATTCAACTGCAATCTACATCGAATTTTGCTACTTAAAGATAAACACATTAGTGATATGTCCGAAGAATATATACTGTACTCATTTGAAATGTAAAAGAACCATTTTATCTTCGATGATAACATGCATATCCGAAAAATCACCTTTCGTAAACCAAAAATAAACTCGTACACTAAAAATAATTTTGATCAAATATAGTAAAATATTATGTATTTTCTCTAATACCTTTGAGAATTGTAGAAAATTTGTATGTTAAAAGAATATTTTAAAATTTAAACATTGTAAGTTTAAGTTTAAAAATGATAAATCGGCAAAAAATCGGAGGGAGGGATCAGATATCATTTCAAGCAGAAAAGTCACGATAATGTTAAAATGACAATGAATCAGAAATAATTGAAAAATGACTTTTAATGATCATTTCGAAGTTATTTTAACATCATTTTGTTATTATAATGACTTGTTGTTTTGCTTAGGATATGAAAGAATGTTTTAGTGAGAGATAATAAGATATTTATATACTTATAAAATATGAGATCAATTACGGGAAAGTTGTAAATTTAGTCACTGATGATTTAGCGAATAATTTTCATCTATTATTTATTACATGGATATTTTATTGCTCGATGGATATTTTATTTCTCGAACTCTCCTGTATGTAAATAATACGTATAAAATATATTAATATTGTTAATATAATAAAATATTGCAAATTAAACTAATTATATATAAATACAAAAGAATTAATAAAAATAAATTATAGGAGTAGACTTTTTAAAAGAATCATTTAAAAATAAAGACTATAAATTGTATTGAAAAAAGATTAACAAGGCAAACAAAATTAAAAAGTTGTATCAATTGATAGTTCAAATAAATTGATTATTGTCAAAGAATAATAGGAACATAATTTAAATGCTTTTTATTTTTTATTTATAATTTATATTTGTTTTGATTTAAACTATTATTTTAAGATTAGTGCTGTTATTTATAATAATACATATATCTATTTTTATACAAGAAATCAGAATACTGTTAGGAAGAAAAAATACGAGATTGAAATTATTGAGGGCGTTTTTTATCATTTGATATATATTATATAAAAGTATATTACGCATCGCAAATCGAAATTATTGCATTTTGTAATATCATCGATTTTTTGTATGTTTGTATTTACGTAAAAATGAATTCTTAGTGCAAAAATGAAAACAAGTACAACCTCCAATGACTTTGATCTTGACAAATGTTATCCTGGACATGATCCTGAACAACATTCAAGAGGTTTTAGCCATTGATCGAACACCTTGCGTAATGCTAATGCCGGCGATACTGTAACTTTCAAGTTTTATAACTCGAAAAGTACTTAATGAAAAATAACTTTATTATAGTGTTTTGAAAAACTCTTGACACCAGCTATTAGATTCTGGAATAAAAAATATGATGTTCCATTTAAAAAAATCGATGTGATCTTGACCTTAACGACACCCAAGGTGTCAAATCA